GGTTGGAGGCCATCGCTCTTAGGTTGGAGGCCATCGCTCTTAGGTTGAAGGCCATCGCTCTTAGGTTGGAGGCCATCGCTCTTAGGTTGGAGGCCATCGCTACTAGGTGGAGGCCATCGCTCTTAGGTTGGGGGCCATCGCTACTAGGTTGGAGGCCGTCGCTCTTAGGTTGGAGACCATCGCTATTAGGTTGGAGCCCATCGCTCTTAGGTCTTAGGTTGGAGGCCTTCGCTCTTAGGTTGGAGGCCATCGCTCTTAGGTTGGAGGCCTTCGCTATTAGGTTGGAGGCCATCGCTCTTATGTTGGAGGCCATCACTCTCAGGTTGGAGGCCATCGCTATTAGGTTGGAGGCCGTCGCTCTTAGGCTGGAGGCCATCGCTCTTAGGTTGGAGGCCGTCGCTCAGAGTTAGAGGCCATCGTTATTCAGTTGGAGGCCGTCGCTCTTAGTTAGAGGCCATCGCTATTCAGTTGGAGGTCATCGCTCTTAAGTTGTGGGCCTTCGCTATTAGGTTGGAGGCCATCGCTCTTATGTTGGAGGCCATCGCTCTGAGGTTGGAGGCCATCGCTACTAGGTTGGAGGCCGTCGCCCTTAGGTTGGAGGCCATCGCTATTAGGTTGGACCATCGCTATTAGGTTGGAGGCCATCGTTGGAGGCCATCGCTCTTAGGTTGGAGGCCATCGCTCTTAGGTTGGAGGCCATCGCTATTAGGTTGGAGGCCATCGCTCTTAGGTTGGAGGCCATCGCTATTAGGTTGAAGGCCATCGCTCTTAGGTTGGAGGCCATTGCTCTTAGGTTGGAGGCCATCGCTCTTAGGTTGAAGGCCATCGCTCTTGGGTTGGAGGCCATCGCTCTTAGGTTGGGGGCCATCGCTACTAGGTGGAGGCCATCGCTCTTAGGTTGGAGGCCATCGCTATTAGGTTGGAGGCCATCGCTACTAGGTTGGAGGCCGTCGCTCTTAGGTTGGAGGCCATCGCTCTTAGGTTGGAGGCCGTCGCTCTTAGGTTGGAGGCCATCGCTATTAGGTTGGATGCCGTCGCAATTAGGTTGGAGGCCGTCGCAATTAGGTTGGAGGCCATAGCTATTAGGTTGGAGGCCATAGCTATTAGGTTCCATTTGCTAGTAGGTTGGAGGTACCAATGAAATGGATCTGGCTGGCCTTGAGCTCTTTAACTTTCTCAGACAGTGCTGCCTGGGACAGACCACGTTACGGAACACTGTGTCTGAACGAGAACCATTCATTCAAGCACAACTGCCACCTCGCGAGCTGTCTGGGACTCACCGTGGAGCAGTTTCGAGGACAGCTTCTCCACCTGTCACTTTGTTGAAAACACCCCTTCTCTAGTTACTTGTGTAGTCTATTCTAAATGTTGGCTTTTCAGAAAACATGAAAAAGATGTTGCAAGAACCTATCGAATCCTGAAAAGTGTGAAGGGAATTCATGTGGTTTCGGTGTTACGTTTCTTCATGTCTCCCTCCTCCTTCTCATGGGATTCCTGCTTTTGCACCTTGCAGCGATGTTGCACACAGCAAAAAAGACTGTGGCGTGGCTGTGCCTCTTTGGCTATGGCAGCCTGAACTGATTCCAGAGCCACTTTCCTGGTCTGAAGGAGGCAGGCAACTTCTAGTAGCACCTCTGTTAAAACTCCACCAAACTCATACGTTGTTTCCCGTCGCTAAGCGGAGGCCTGGTGCTCAAGCGCTGTTCCGAGGACATGGTGCCCATACTCATACTCGTCTGCACTTCCTCTATGAAAAGCACCAAGCACATTCGACTGATAATGTAGTGATGGAAAAAAACCCTACGTTACCCCAACGTATCCACCATGAAAGGAAGAGCTACATTATTTGTTGCACTATGTTGCACTATACGAGTGTACATGAGTGCCAGGAATGCACACGTTCACCTATCTCCATCCCACTTCATCCCCTTTCGAAAGAAATCCTTTCGAAGAGTGGTCCACAGATTCGCAGAGTATCACTGGGTGATGGGCGAACTTTCGCAATTTTCCAGTCCTCCACAGCTTCCAATGCCACTTTGCGAGCCGCAGCAGCCAGGGCCTGGATCCGCATGGACTGGGACTCCTGGATGTAGAGCTAATGTGGTGTGTCGGCTTGTGCGCTAGAAGAGCCATGAAGATTCAATTTCTTTTACAGTACTGAGTCATTTTCTTGTTGTTTCCTTTTTCTCCAATTAGACCTTTGGGGATCTTTCTGTTTTGCTTACGTCGTGTCTTCTTTCCTTTTCCTGAATGGTTCAACTTCATTCCACACATCGTTCATCCCAAATCATTGGCTATCGCAAATCCTTATAGCAAATATAATATGATATAATACAGTATATATATATAATGACTGCTAGCCTGTGAACTTCGCATATTGAAATGTATGCTTTGCAGCCCCTCATACGCGTGTCCTGTGACTCCTCAAGGTCGAAGTCGTCTGTAGAATCCAAATCAATGAGAGACACCGCCTGGTAAAATGCAACAACTTCAAAACAGGGGAATCGAACTTAACAAACACATCGCAACGTTGACTCTGTCAATGCATTCTTAGGACTCAAGTAAGCATGAAATCCTTGAGACATCTTGATACCATTGTGTTCAGAAGGATGCAAAGCCTGTTGCACCTTTGAATGCTTGTGCTTTGTGTGGCGCTTCCTCAAGTGGATGCTTGAAATAAAAGGAATATGCCCGTCGCAATGCGAGCAATAAAACCGGCTTTTAGATACAGGCAAGAAGCTTGTGGTGTTCTGTCGTCTTCGTTCCTTTATAAAGGTGCTCTGCCTTCAGCAAACATGCTTGACAACACCATCGTAAATGATGCAAAAGGCAAAGAACCCCATTGACTTCGTAAGTCTTAATAAAAACGGTTGAATGAATGCTTAATCGGTTTCAACTCAGGCTGCTCTCCTACCGCTCTTCAACAGGCTATCATTCTCACGTATAGTACAGTACAGTATTGAGCTCTTTTGAAAAGTCCTTGAGAGCATCTCCATCTCTCTTGCGCCTGGGTCTTCTGGTGGCCTTGTTCTGCTTTAGATTTCCTCAGAAATCGTGGGTTCCTGCTCTCATCCCGCATCATCCCACGGCTTTCACGGCTTCACTACACTCTCCGCAAATTGACTTTCGGCGGGGAGAATCTCGTCCGCAAGGAGATTTCAACTGCCAAGGAGCTCCGAGATTTCCACTTTGAGGGCCTCGGAAGAGTCCGCAAAAGTTGCACGTTTGCCTTCAAGTTTCCGGACTCCACGTCTTTCACCTGCCAGTCTTGCCTCTTCAAGCTTCTTCAACTGCTCAAGATCATCCCGGAGTTTTTCCTCAGCATCCTGCAAAAGGTGCATCTCGTCATGCGGCTAGAAGCTTAAAGGAAGCCGGTCCTTCAGTGACGCCAGATTGGGCTTCCGCTCCTGAAAGACACAAGGATTCGAAGGACCCGAATCGACCGAAACCGAATCGTCCTCTGCCCCTTGATTTCCAAACAGCTGTCCTCTCGAAGCTGCGTCTTTTCAATATGTCCTGATCCAATTGCAAACAAGCATTTGTCGAAAAAGAAATTCTGCATTGTCCTTCAGCATCAACGGCTGACCCACGTCTCTGACCCATCTGGCCCTGCAAACAGAATGGCACATTGACACATGATTGAAATGTTCACTCACATGTGCAACTCATCAAGACAACCAAATTCTATGTCACTATTCTCTCTGCATGGTGTCGGCTCAAAGCTCAATGAACATGTGCTGTTGCAAGGACAAGTTAAGATCATAAATGTGTGCGGCCATACCTTTGACATGGGTGTTTCAAACGTCAAGTTCGACCCTTTTGTGCAGCAAAAGACGACAACAACAATCTTGAAAATGGCTCACAGTTCAGCACAGATTGCTTTGAGCGGCGTTGAATTCATGTGCAACATGAACTTTTTGCGATTACTATTTGCGTCTACTTTATGGTCAGCTAGGGTTCTTCCAGTCCAAACCTTTTCTTCTCTGATTATCCCAATCGTAGGCAAGTTGCATTGGCTCCGCAAAGAGCCGGAAGTGACTGAACGCTTGGACGGAGGCATGACGTCATCCTTGTTGTTTTCGTGCTGATCAACTTGGGATGTGAGTGAGGCCTAAAGGGCCTTGGATGAACGTTGGATTGGACTAAACGGATTTCTCGGAGTAAAAAGAGTGAGTGAAAACTTGGGGCCATTTAATATGGCTTCTCAAAAAGGGCCTTTACATGGTTTTCTTCCTCTCCTTTTTCGTTCCTTTTTCAGAACTCAATGGCGATTGGCCCCGCTTTACTTATTGGCCTGTTTGAGAAGATGTCTTTGAAGGGTTTCGTCCATATGTTTACAGTAGTACCCCATAAAAATAGGTACAATTAGTAAATACAGTAAATAGAAATAAGGACTGCATGACGATGCAAGAATCAGCGCTTAGTCGACGAGGAAAGCACTTTCCCCCTTCAACGGCAATCGGGCTCCGAAGCCTCTTTGCCATCACCAGCGTGGGCAAACGACTTCGCACTGGTGGGACCATTAACATCTACACCTGCACTTCTGACTCAAGCAAACCCAAAATCAGGACAAATAACTCTGAGCCAAGCAGCCAATGCTCGAGGCGCCAGTCTTCTTCCTCTTGAGAGCGTCGAGGTCCTCTTGATAGAAAAGCAGCGTGCCATCTTCATGTCAATGTCGGCATGTTGCTGCTTGACGTCGGTTTACTTGTGGAGATTCCTTGCAAAGCCCGCTGTCCTGTGTTGGCCTTTCCATCGGAAAGGCTCCAGGTGAGTGCTTCCAGGAGGCCCCTAGCTGGCTCAAAGCATTGCAAGGAGTTGCGCAGAAAGCTGCAAGTGGTGCAAACGCCTGGATCAAGGCCATCATTCAATGTATCTGGTTGCCCACTCGCCTCCGCGTTGTGCAATTTGAGAAGTGCGAGCTCGGTATGTTAGTGTTGTGTTCTGTTGTGTTTATGCATATATATATATACAGTGCCTATATGTGTATATCTAAACATCTATCTATCTATCTGACTGATTGTTGCCAAATATATATATATATATGGTTATACATAATCTATTCTAATTATATATTATATGACCACCAACCATTGCCAACAAGTCACCGCAGCAAGCAGTTTACTTCAAATAAAGTATACACATGTGCCTTCATTTTGAAGAAAAAAGAAAGAAAAAAAGACAGAAAGAAAGAAAGAAAGAAAGCCTCCGGCCTTCACTTTGAAGATACCTTCCGAAGGCTCAACCTGCGCAACACCGTCGCGACACCAAACTCCTTGACTGTTGACACGGGCCTCGGACTCCGTCTTTGAAGAGGTGCCATTTCTGAAGGCTGATCCCTTGGACTCCGTCGTTTGCCCGCACGAGAAGATGAAATCACAAACAGATTCATATGCCTCTGCAGACTCATCTTCACTTTCCTGGTCCAAAGTGCGCAAGATACGTTGTAGCTGGAAAGCAGAAAGAAGAATGCCAAAGGTATGCATTGGGGAGGGATGTCTTTCGGGCCATCGTCAGTACTCGCAAAAGGCTTGCAGCGACCATTTCCACTTGGTGGGTTGCTGCGGATTCCGAATGTGACATGTCCGTGGAAACCAAAAAAGGTTGGAGGGTCTTGCATAGCAAAGTACACAGGCCAATCAGAGTTGGTTCGAGACTCTCCTATTCTGCACAAGCTCACATGCAAACCGGAGTCATCTCCGAGCCCGCATAGCCGCAGCCATTCAACATGCTTCTTCCAACCAATTGGAAGAAGCATGTCGCTAAATTCCCAACTTCTTGATTGGGTCTGTGAAGTGTCCCTCTCTTTCACTCTCTTCCTCCTCCCGTCTTTCTATCCCCCTCTCCTCTCTTTTCTTGCACATAACATTCTTTGTGTGTCCCATAACTCCACCTTGAGTGCCAAACCAAACCCAACACACGCACATCCCGCCTTTTGCGTTGAATCGGATGAGTTGCTGGGCCTAGGTGTCAATTTGGCCCAGCTCCAAGACTTCTTGGTCCTACACATGTCAATTATCTCCCAAACTCTCAAACTCACCACCATCCTGCAATGCAATGGCAACAAGTCAGATACAGAGTGGACCCCGAAGAAGATTAAAGAAAGCGACAAAGGGGGAGAGGACGTGGAGCCTATGAAAGAAATCTTCGACAGGATAGGGTATGCAAGCGCTTAAACACCGCACGCAGGATACTGTGGCAGGCTGTGCGTCTTCCTGTCCAGCCAATTCCGGGACAACGAGTGGGAGACAACGTTTCCATCATCACAGAGAGAAGTCTGGAGACACTTTGGGTCATCGAGACACGATGTTGTGGGAACTATACACGTGGCCAAAAGGGGCAGTGACAGCGTGATTTCCGGCAGCACTAAACTGGTCAGACCTGCGATGTGAATCCTGCAAAACACAATTCAAATAATGAGCAGAGTCAATACTGTGGGAAATGTCTGTCCATAACAATCTCTTGATGAAAGCAACGCGAACTCAGAGTCTGCGGAGCTAATCCAGTTCTCTACATGAAGGGTGGAGTCCATCTGCGCCCGACGCAGAAGGAGACGTCATCAACTGAGAGGAATCACTCAATGCCGCTAAGAAATGAGGACTGCAAAAAGCTTCAACGATCATCCCACTGAATCACGGAAAGCTAAGATTCGAACAAGCTTTTGGACCCCGTCTGAGCTGATGTGTTCACACTCTTTTGAGCCGACTGTGTGGTGTCCTGTCAACTCAAGCATTTATGGTCTAATGCGCTTTCCGCTTTCTGCAACATCACATACTGATATCCACTGCGAGAATTCGCACATATATATATATATAGGTATATAGATTGAATGCGCTTGCCAAGTGCTTGGTGACGGGACATGTCCTCTTCATCTCCTTTTTCGTCTTCTCCACCTTCATCTTCACTAGCTGACTTGTCCTTCGTCCCTGCAACGCTCGAGGTGTTTTGAGTCGTACCTGCTGATCTTGCAGATGCTGCAGTCTTTGACTTTGCAGACAATCCTCAGAGTGCTGTAGGGCAAGAACATATGAACATGTGTGTGTGTGTGCGTGTATGCGATCACGTCTACAGAATCCAGCAACTCAGAGCGCCCCGCCATTCTCGTCCGCACCATCCTGACACGGATTGAATTCATGTCAGTGGACACAGCAACACAATAAGCGATACAAAGCCGCGCACAGGCTGAGCAATACAACTGACTGGACGAACCTCCTCGGCATCGTCTGTCTGTTCGTTTGAGGGCTGCTGGTCGTTTTCCTCCTGAACACACGCCCATTGGACAATGCTCCTCTTGTCTATCTCAACATGGGCAAGGCATCCCCAAACCAACGACCTGCAATGTACACTCATTGTCATTCCCAAGGTTGAGGTGCTGGGTACAAGTATCAAGATTGCCCCTCAGTTTGCCTAGCCTCAAACATGGGGTGATCTTGTCGTTTGGTGATGGCGTTGCCACATGGCAAAGGACTCAAAACTGAAGCACTATGCTTCACAGCTCATTCAACTAAGCAAAAGCGCATGGGGAAAGCACCTATCGCCGATCGGTATCCCGGTATCCCTGCCTTCTGTGCTTGGGATGAGTTGCTTGGCCTCGGCAATTGGCTGTTTGCCTTTGGCTGCGACAATTCTACAATAGCTACAGGTTGGCAAGTCAAAGACTTCAAGCAGCAATACAGCTCCCAATGCCGACAAGGGAGGCGGAAAAATTTATCATCTCAAACAATCTGGCAAAACTATGAAAAACTCAGATTTGAACGAGCTTTTGGACTCTGTCTGGGCAGATGTGTTGACGCTCTTTTGAGCCGACCGCGTGGTGTCCTGTCAGCTTGAGCATTTATGCTCTCATGTGCTTTTCCGCTTTCTGCAACATCACGTACTGATATCCACTGCGAGAATTTGCACATATATATAGGTGTTTATATAGATTGAATGTGCTTGCCAAGTGCTTGGTGACGGGACATGTCCTCTTCATCTCCTCTTTCGTCTTCTCCATCTGCTGATCTTGCAGATGCTGCAGTCTTTGACTTTGCAGACAATCCTCAGAGTGCTCTCGGGCAAGAACATATGAACATGTGTGTGTGTGTTTGTGCGCGTGTATGCATTTACATCTGCACAATCCAGCATCTCAGAGCACCCCGCCATTCTCGTCCGCACCATCCTGGCACGGATTGAATTCATGTCAGTGGACACAGCAACACAATAAGCGATACAAAGCCGCTGCACGGGCTGAGCAATACAACTGACTGGGCGAACCTCCTCGGCATTTGCTGCATCGTCTGTCTGTTCGTTTGAGGGCTGCTGGTTGGTTTCCTCCTGAACACGCACCCATTGGACAATTGGACAACGCTCCTCTTGTTTATCTCAACATGGGCAAGGAATCCCCAAACAAACGACCTGCAATGTACACTCATTGTCATTCCCAAGGTTGAGGTGCTGGGTACAAGTATCAAGATTGCCCCTCAGTTTGCCTAGCCTCAAACATGGGGTGATCTTGTCGTTTGGTGATGGCGTTGCCACATGGCAAAGGACTCAAAACTGCAGCACTATGCTTCACAGCTCATTCAACTAAGCAAAAGCTCATGAGGAAAGCACCTATCGCCTATGGGTATCCCGGTATCCCTGCCTTCTGTGCTTGGGATGAGTTGCTTGGCCTCGGCAATTGGCTGTTTGCCTTTGGCTGCGACAATTCTACAATAGCTACAGGTTGGCAAGTCAAAGACTTCAAGCAGCGATACAGCTCCCAATGCCGACAAGGGAGGCGGAAAAAATTATCATCCCAAACGCGCATAGAATCTGGCAAAACTATGAACAACTCAGATTTGAACGAGCTTTTGGACTCTGTCTGGGCAGATGTATTGACGCTCTTTTGAGCCGACTGTGTGGTGTCCTGTCAGCTTGAGCATTTATGCTCTCATGTGCTTTTCCGCTTTCTGCAACATCACGTACTGATATCCACTGC